GCCACGTCCGTAGATAGGTGCAGGTTTGCTACGGGATGCTGCGAAACGCAGTGTAATGGCTGCATGAATGTTGCATAGGCTATGTTGTGGGGAGGAAGCCGGAGCACGAAACCTTGTGTTTTTCCGTGTAAAGTGGCTGCAGCCGGCGATGAAAGGTACCTCGTCTGTGCGGCGGTGCGGCTGCGGTCTTTTCTGTCGCGAATTGTTCCTCCTATGTGTTTTGCAACGAGTGGTTGTTCCTGTGTGCGTAGTTCTATGCGTTTCTTGAAGCTGTGGTGGCAGATCGCATTGGAATGGCTGCATGATTGTTGTCATTTGGTGTTGCCACGTCCGTAGATAGGTGCAGGTTTGCTACGGGATGCTGCGAAACGCAATGTAATGGCTGCATGAATGTTGCATGGGCTATGTTGTGGGGAGGAAGCCGGAGCACGAAACCTTGCGTTTTTCCGTGTAAAGTGGCTGCAGCCGGCGATGAAAGGTACCTCGTCTGTGCGGCGGGTGCGGCTGCGGTCTTTTCTGTCGCGAATTGTTCCCCCTATGTGTTTTGCAATGCAACTAGTGTTTTTTTCCTGTGTGTGCGTAGTTCTATGCGTTTCCTTTCTTGAAGCTTGGTGGCAGATCGCTTGGAATGGCTGCATGATTGTTGTCATTTGGTGTTGCCACGTTCGTAGATAGGTGCAGGTTTGCTGCGGGATGCTGCGAACCGCAGTGTAATGGCCGCATGAATGTTGCATGGGCTATGTTGTGGGGAGGAAGCCGGAGCACGAAACCTTGTGTTTTTCCGTGTAAAGTGGCTGCAGCCGACGATGAAAGGTACCTCGTCTGTGCGGCGGTTGCGGCTGCGGTCGTTTCTGTCGCGAATTGTTCCTCCTATGTGTTTTGCAACAAGTGGTTGTTCCTGTGTGCGTAGTTCTATGCGTTTCTTGAAGCTGTGGTGGCAGATCGCATTGGAATGGCTGCATGATTGTTGTCATTTGGTGTTGCCGCGTCCGTAGATAGGTGCAGGTTTGCTACGGGATGCTGCGAAACGCATTGTAGTGGCTGCGTCAAGGTTGCTCGGTGCTGCGGCTGCACGCGTAATACTATTGTCTTTTGCAGCTGAAGATCGTAAATCGCATTGGAATGGCTTGGTGCAGCGGCTGGATGGGTAATACTATTGTCTTTTGCAGCTGAAGATCGTAAATCGTATTGGAATGTTTGCATCAAGGCTGCGAAAGTGAATTGTCAGCAGATTTTCTCCATTTTGGCGCTAATAATTTTCCTTTTAAAATTCCTTTTAAAAAGTGGTTCAAAATCGTCTTTTTGCCGCTTTGGCGTCGAGATCCGGTTTTGGAGCTGCAATTTCCGACGCCATTGCACGTAGTTCTATTGTGTTTTGCAACTCAGTCTCTGCAGATCGCATTGTAGTGGCTGCGTCAAGGTTGCTTGGTGCAGCGGCTGCATGCGTAATACTATTCTCTTTTGCAGCTGAAGATCGTAAATCGTATTGGAACGGCTGCATCAAGGCTGCGAAAGTGATTTGTCAGCAGATTTTCTCAATTTTGGCGCTAATAATTTTCCTTTTAAAATTCCTTTTAAAAGTGCTTCAAAATCGTCTTTTTGTCGCTTTGGCGTCGAGATCCGGTTTTGGAGCTTCAATTTCCGACGCCATTGCACGTAGTTCTATTGTGTTTTGCAACTCAGTCTCTGCAGATCGCATTGGAATGGCTGCGTCAAAGTTGCTTGATGCCGCGGCTGCATACGTAATAGTCTTGTCTTTTGCAGCTGAAGATCGTAAATGGTATGGAGTGGCTGCATCCAGGCTGCGAAATGGCTTTGTCAGCAGATTTTCTCCATTTTGGCGCTAGTGATTTTCCTTAGTAGAAGTACTGGGAAGTAATTCATGAAAGCTTAGATGACATATGAGAAGAGATGAGATGAGAAGAGATGAGCTGGGATAAGGTGAGAAGAGCTCAGATGAGATGAAGTGTGGAGTG